TCTTAATGTTAATGGTTGACAATATTAGGGGTGATTAATATTGGAATTGAGGCAACCGCACAACGGAGGTTGCTGCAATTTCACTTATAAAAAATATTGCAATCCAAAAAAAAAAATTTCAAAATCGTCCATCGGGTTGCGATTGGACGATTTAATATCGGAGTATTCACCATAAGGCCATGAACATTTTTTTAAATGCTGAATTCAAATCTGAATTATTAATTCTTTTTTGTCTGTTTTAATTATAATTATTTAAATTGTGTACGTCCACTAAATAAATAAATAAAAAAATGAAAATTGTGTGCGTTAGAGCTTAAAAAAAATCATCAAAACATTAACAAGTTAAAAAACCGGAATTTCGTACCGTCATTTGGCCGTAACTTCTTTAAACTGAATTCAGCATGAAATGTTTGAAATATTTTTTGTTCGGCCTTACGGCGATTTCTCCAATATTAAATCGTCAATTCTAAACCCTATATGGACGATTTTGAAATTTTTTTATTACAATTGGTAAAAAGTAAAAACGCAGCGACCTCCGGTGGGCGGTTGGCTGATTTGTAAAAAAAGTCACAAATCAATTAATATATATAGACGAAAATAAATTTCAAAATACACTGGGTATAAGTTTTCAGGGATACTTTTAATTGACGACTTTCAAAAAGTTTAAATTCTCAAGAAACAGCATTGGATTATCTATTATTTCGTAAAATAAAACTACAAACTATTAAATTTTTTATTTAGTTTTTATCAAAATCGGATTTAAATTTGACTTTTTGGATAAAACTTAATTATTAGAATTGTGATTACTATTACTATTACTTGTTTTAAAATATTGTTTTGTGCGCAGGTTTTGACACTTATATAAAGGATAAAAAACGGTGAAATTATGTGAGTTAACCATGACGTGAGTAAGTCTGTCCGTCCGAAGATAACTAACGGGAGACATCTAGTGGACGAACATTATAGAGTACGGACATGTTTAGTACGCCTTAAGTACGCCCGTTAAATTGGGAAGATTCGGGCTCAGACGCCATCTATCCCAGGCAGGAAATGGGGGAAGGGGTGGGGTGGTGGTGGATGACGACTCTATCCTTTGCTATTGGTACATTCAGACTTTTTTGAATTAAAAAGATCAAACTTTTCAAAAACTTTAATTTTAATACAATATTTACAATATAAATATAATATAAATGGTAAACATATTAATTACAAAGAATATAAAGTTTACTGCAGATGAATATTGAATATGCTGTTTGCTCTATAAAGAATTCAGAATCATCAAATTCAACGAGAAAATATCATAAATTACAGATTTAGAGATTAATGACACATATTGACTTGACATGAAATTTACAAAATATAAACGATTATTTTGACAAGTATCTATTCTATTCAAATGTCATGTAGCGAGGATTAAGTTAGTAAATAATTAAGATTTTCCAAAATTAGTAGTGCTTGTATTTACAGTTTTAGAGAGGGAACGAGAAGAAAGCTATTTGACATAAATTGTTTGGTATGCAGATTTATGCATACATTTACTATATTTTACTAGTAATGTGCAGACACTTCATTTTTTAAAAAAGAATAACGTAAAAAAACTAAACGCATGACAATTTATTTTTTATTTTCAGTGAGTTTTGTGCAATTTTAGGCAGAGAAGTCGCAAAAATTGACAAAAAAAATTAGCAAACACATACTTTCGTTTATTTATTTTCCGTTTTATCTTGCTTCATGAACGATTCCAAAATGAAAGGTTTTTGCAGTTTGTTAACATTGGAAAAAGAATCAGAGCTTTCAAATATAAAACTACTACTTTTGAAGGTTATAAAACTGCGTTTTAGAGCAAAATATTTCATCGACGACCCCCCCCCCATAGGTGGGCAATATACATTTTTTAAACAATAAAACAACGTTAAGTAAACTAAACACACTTTCTTTCAGAGACATCCGCGTATCTAAAATTTTAACCGTCTAACATTATAGACATCTATATTAGACTATCTATCTAATAAACATCTAACTATCTAACTTTAACCATAAATTCTTCATAGTAATCCTACAGTAATCCTACAATCTCGTTATCAAATAAAAATGTCCCCCTCCGAAACCCTTCCCTCCATTACCCCCCGTTATCCAAAAAATCCGCTGATCAATCAGAAAATAGAGTTTAATTGTGCAATGTCAAAGATGATGTCAAAATCCCAGAAACGGTGTGTTTGCAAAAAAAAATCACAGTTTATAGCCATAAAACCTTTTCCCACATCAGATCCCGAAATTCGCTAAAAATGTGTACTTTTCTGTAAAGATGGGCTTTTTTCATTTCTTTCGTGAACGGCCCATTTCATTCGTTTTTTTTCAATCATTAAAAAAAAATGATTTCGTAATTTCTAAAAATTATCGTTCTTTTTCCATATATTGTGTTCGTTTTCTCACTTCGGGATCGTTTAGTAAAATCGTTCTTTCAGTAAAAAAACTTGGTAAGAAAAAAATGGTTTTTATGCTTCAGTGATTATGCAGGAGTTTCAATTCAATTCATCAAAAATTTTTAAAAAAACACTTCCGATGGAGGTTTAAAGGGTATACAACGTATTGAATTCGACATGGCACTTTAAAAATAGAGGTTCACAATGTTCACATGGCTTTACATGTACAGTTCCACAGATTAACAGTGCTTTTAAAAGTCGTATTGCAGTGGGGCATCATACAAACATTCATAACAAACATTTTTCAAATTACACGTTTACTAGGTAACAAAGAGAAGCTGTTAATTAGAAGAATGACGGAAAAAAGAAAGGCATCTTCATTGTATTAATTTATACAACGCGACGACTGTAAATATAAGTGAAACCAAGGAAAGAGGGGGGGGGGGGATTTTATAAATTGATATACAAATTGATATGTTATCGTTCAGAAACTTGATACAATTTTTAAAAATGCTAAACACAAGGTAAAACTTTAATCATAGTATACAGAACTTTAAATAATATTAAGCTGAATTACTGGCATGATTTTGTGACCTGAGCTGAAAACTTTAAAATGGTGGATATCAAGATTCATCCTTGATCTTCTCTTTCTCTTAATATCGAGACTAACCTAATCTTGTACAGTATTGTACAGTGTAAAGTGTTCACTTTGCAGTGAACAGTAGTGTTCAATAAACAGATACAGTGGTAGGCGATTTTATCAACACAAAATTCATTTGAGTTTTGATTATTAACAAACTTAACTTGTTTTACAAACAAGTTTACAAGTAAACAAATGGAAGCTTTTTTAACTAGCAGATTCTCTTGACTTCTATTTATATCTGTATCCAAGCTGTTCACCAACTTTCTATTAACAAACTTGAAATGTCTTTTTTATTGTATTGATATAATCGCCTACCACTGTACTTGACTTAAAATGATTAAATAATTGAACAGCAGCATTCACTGCACAGATATCTCTTCCATCTTCTCCTGGTGGATGGTTGTGCTCCAACCTCAAAAAAAAATTAATTACAAAATGAAAAAAAAAATTCTACAAAAATCTTTTTTAAAAGACTGTCGACATGATTTCAAGTGAGTTTATATTCCAATAAAAAACTGTATTGTACTGTACTGTACTGTACTGTACTGTACTGTACTGTACTGTACTGTACTAATATATATCATTTTGCGAAATAGAAATAAATTATGAAACAGCTTGATATATAATCTTTTTTAATTAAATTTAAAATTGACTTTAAACTTTTGATAGTTCGTTGTCAAACTTGTAAAAATCCTTAATTTTACATTTAATAGGAAAACCAATTAAAATCTCTATCTTAAAAGATATGAAAGGAACAAATTTATGCTTAAATATTTAATAACTAAATATGTTTTTAATTGTCTCAAGTAAAATTTTTAAATTGTTGCAATTACAATTTTTTTAAATAATTTTTTTTTAAACATTAAAAAAAATCTGTTAAACTTAAATTAATAAAAATCTAAAACTTTTTTTATTTATTTGAAAAATATTAAAAAAGAGAGGTATTTTTTATGAGAATTTAAAGTTGCGCTTCGAACCACCAAATACTACTCATTTGTCTGCTTTTGATATTTGGAAAAATGTTTGCTTTAGGTTTTTTTGTGACTTTGAAAAAAATTAAGAATTTGGCCCGTATTTTCTTCTTTTTTACGAGGTTTTCCATTTCATGGTTTTTGAATTCAGTGTTTCAAAACAGATTTGAGATAGTTTAAAAAATACCAAACCAAGCATTTAAAAAAAAGTATAGTTGCAAAGATGTTATAAGAGAAAGAAATTTGAGGCGAGTAATCAGTTCATGTAATTTCACCCATAGATTAATAACAATACAGATAGAACATTTTATGCCGTCTTAGATTTAAGGATTCCTTCTTCTCTCTAAATAACTCTGAGGCAGAAGCCCAAATGAGTTAGAACAGGGTCCTCTGGTCTTGTAATTCATAGCGAAATGCCTCAGTGTTATTGTGAAAGAAAAACCCCTAAATCTTGAAAAGACTACATCATGTGTTCTATCTGTATTGTTATTAATCTATGGTTTCACCTGATTGACTGTACTTGTTGTACTGGCATTGTTCTCATCCCCATCCTCGCTTTCAGGCTCATCAAAATATGCTGAACAAAAAAGTGCATTTTCCACAACAAAAAAGCACTAACGTGAGAGGGAAGCCCCGACCGCCATGAGCCTCCACTTACAAAGAAACACGCCTCCCAGGTTTGCTATGCTGCATCACAAGCCTCGGCTCTGCAGTATAAGCCTCCATCATACAGTAAACGAGCCTCCGCTATGCAGCCCAGCTTTTTTAAAACTCCTAGTTGTTATTTGTAATAAAAATATTTTGCAATTTTTCCACACACAGGTTTATTAAAGATCAGAAATAGTTATCAATTATTATAAATAGTGCCTTATTATGACTTAAAAAGAGGATTGTCAAACCTAAACATTTTTTAAACAGAAGGGAAAATATATAGAGCAAACATTCTGAATTTCATTTAATTTACAATCTTTGATTTAAGTGATAACTTTTTTGGAAGTTTTCTTTAAGTTATGATCATCAAAAGTTTGACAATGACTATCAATCTAAATCTTTTTTTTAAAAGTTCAAAACAAAATAGCTAAGTTCAATAAATGCCTTCTTTCTGTGTAAGAAATGTTTAAAAATAAAATATGCAAATTATAAACCACTTTATGAGTCAATATAAGATACAAAACATAAAATAAAAATAATATGATCTTAAGAAAAACCCTTGTGCCAATATGTCATAAAAAGTGTTAAAAAAATATGTATTAGCATGAAAAACCAGGGTTTTAAAAGAAGCTATGCATAGAAAAATTTGGAGGCTCGTTTTTGCATATCGAAGGCTCATAACTGCCAGGGGTTCCCTCCCTCAACTGACCCATTCCGCCTGATAAGTCGATAATTTATCTACTGGTAAAACACCTTAAAATTTTTTTTTTGCTAAAATTGTAATACACGTTGAAGTGCAAAAATAGTGTGGAACGATTTTCTACTTTATTAGAAACCTTATTCTTCTTTTTAGAAAAGGGTCAAATTTTAAAGTGAAATTTTTCCGAAATATTGAAATATATTGAAATATTGAAATATATTGAAATATTGACCAAGAAATACAAATAAAAAAAAATATTTAAAAAGAGCAAAATCACAAATTAATTGTTGACTGAATTAATAATAAGAATTCCAATAAAAATACCAACAATAAAGGGATCAATGTAATCGTCTGCCATCCGAGCCAATCCTAAAATTTAAATTCAAATTCAACGCATAGCCTTTAAGAGAAAGAAAGACACATTAAAAAAACTATAGACGACATTTTAAGTGACCTTTCTTTTAAAAAACAGTTGCATGTTTGATACACAACGGAACCCTTTAAAACTTTTGTCTGATCAAGGTTTTTAAAGATATTTTTTTTATTTTTACAGAGACAATGAAGACTATCGAAATCAATTGACCTTACGTATAACAGTCCCTCCAGCTTTTGGACTGAATTCAAAGAAAAAAATAGCGTATTTAATTAACCTGTTTTTTCCCCTGTTGACTTTCTACTCCTATTTGTTTCCATTTTTGCAAACTGGTCAGAAACGGAAATCTTTTTGTCTGATGAAGATTTATTTCCAGCTTCCATAGTTTTTACACTCTCAGGTTCAGGAGCATCAAGAGTATTCAACTTGTCAATGTCTTCTTCGTTATCTTTGATAAGATCCATACTAGCTTCTTTATCAACCTGGAATCCGTTACGAGTATCTTCATTGACTTTGGCCTCACCGTTTTTAGCAAACCATCTCCCAATCAACCATTGTTTGTGGACAGATCTCTCCATCTTCTTTGTGGAACAATCAAGATCCTCATTTTCATTTTCATTCTCCGTCCTGGGAAGATTTGAACTTTTGTTTCGAAAACGTTCTTTTGCTGGGTCTTCGTCCTTGTTTGCGCTATTTTTTGGATGACCGTTAACCCGTTCAGCAACATCAAGCCAAGGGGCAACTGGACTGCTAGTATCTCCTTCCAAAGCTTTTGCCTCCTTTTTTTTATTCAACTGCTCTACATGAAGTTTTGACAAACTTTTACGATTAGCCAAAGCTCTATCCTTTTCAGAAATCTTCCCTGAAGTCTCCGCATTAGATGTTGAATTGGCTGTATCATCAAGAGTTTCCATTTCTTCTTCAATCAAGCGTTCCTTCAACGCGGCATAAAATGCTTCCTCATCCTTATCAAGTTTACCCTCCTGTGTATTGGGCTGGTTCATTATGATTCGTTTGAAAATAAAAAATAAAAATCTGTAATTCAATGAAAAGAAACGTTTACTAAACTGTAATTGTACCTTTAGAAATTTAACAACAAACCCCTTTGATGGCTGCGGTGCTGGGAAAAGTTTTAACCAAGGCACCACTGCTTTGTAAGTTAAAAAGGTATTAACGGTTAGTTTTCTTTAATATAAGCTTAAACCAACGGATTGACATTTATTGACAAAATTATTGATATGCCCAGCCATACCTGTTGACTACCAGCATTATTTGCTGCACTTTCATCTTTGTTAAACTTGCTGGAAGGATCAGTAACATCTTCTTCATTTGTAATCTTCAAATCATTATCCCCAGACTTCTTATAGTTAAGAATCTTGTTGAGAAAAGAGAAAAGACTTGCAGTGGAATCCCTGGGATTTGCTTTCCCATCTTCCACTTTTGCAGGAGCATCTTTAGAACCATCAGTAAGCATGATATCCTTTTAAATGTAAACAAATAAACGTACAAGTATACGATTTTTATAATGTTATTTTTTTATGCCTTTTTAATTCAATTTCTGTGAAAATCATGCATTTCAATGAATTAAGAGCAGTTCTGCGTATTTTGGTACTGTTTAATTATTATAAAGATTTATTCACACATAAAGATATAAATACATATATAAATGGTGTAGTTTGAATTTGTTTAAATAAATTTATGAAAAAAAGGTTTCCAAAAGAAAAGAGAAAAATATGCAAAATTATGCACAAATAGACAACATTGATCATTACTCATTACATAACATATTTATCATTTCAGTTATTACGAAATCATCGAATCCTTCAACATATAAATTATTTATTCTTGTATTTAAAAGTTCTTGTAAAACCGGAACTTTCCATGCATGTTCCAATGGGACATCAAAATATTTCATTTGTTTCTTAACTAACATTTTACTAAGATCCGAAGGATTTACGGTACAATCATTTGCAATACAAAATAAATTTCTGCCAAGAACTGTGTTAAGGTCATCTATACATAAATTAGAAAGAAATCTAATGCAAAGCTTAGAACTTGCTTCAATAGTTCATAGAAAGACACACATCTGCTAGCTAACATATTGCTCTTATTTTTAAAAAAACCAATAACGATTTCAATACTATTTTTTTACAATAGTTTGATCTTGAGAAATACATTTTATGTTCATATAATTTTCTATTCTTCTATTTCTAAACTACCTCAAAATTTGACTTTTTCCACACTCCCATATCCCCATCATTTTCACAATCTAGAGCAAATGTTAATTGGTGTATGCATAGATTAATAACAATACAGATAGAACACTAGATTTCGTCTTTTCAAGATTTAGGCTTTTTTCGTTCAAAAGGCAAAGACTGAAAGGACTAACGCGCATGCTCTCTGTCTTGTCATTGAATGCAACATCCACGTAACTCCTATGGGCTTCTGCCTCAAGGTTAATGTGAACGAAAAACTTAAAAAGACGACATCTAGTGTTTTATCTATATAATTATTAATCTATGGGTATTGTGAACCAAGCCAACTTTAGTTGGTCCAATAATAATCGTTTGTATCATTATGATGTGAATACCTAGTTTGTGTGCAAAAATGCTTTGTTACTCATTACAATATTGGCTTCTTATTACTGAGTTCTTTTCAAGTCTATAGTAAATCAATATCAATATAAGACAGATTTATGAACTTAAAGAGAAATTCTGGAATTCAATAATGATATGACTTTATACTGCTTTAAAGGGAATTATGGACAAAAAAATAGGAACAGTGATTTTCTATTATATATAAAAAAGTAAAAAGGGGGGGGAGTAAGTACCCCCCCCCCCAGATTTTCCCCTGAAAAGCTTATAAACAAATGCTATTAGGCCAAGTACAGATGAAAACTATAAGCAGATTATTTTTGAAAATTGTTTCATGCAAATAAATCACTTCTCGTGATGTATTTAAAAATGTCTAATTATTTGTCTTTTTTCTTTTTTCTACGTTATTACTCTTCAAAATTCCGGTTTACGGAATGGAAATCAGAATTTCCCGGTTTACAGAATGGAAATCAGAATTTCCCGGTTTACGGAATGGAAATCAGAATTTCTCGGTTTACGGAATCGAAATCAGAATTTCCCGGTTTACGGAATGGAAATCAGAATTTCCTGGTTTACGGAATGGAAAAAAGGAAAATCTCCAGTTTGCATTCCTTTACCTGGAAAAAAAATCTAGTTTCCATTCTCGAAAGCGGAAAATATCCAGTTTTCATTCACTCTGGAATATCCCAGAATGTCACCTTATGAAAATATTTCGAGGACTATTCCATTTACAAAATGATTTTTTTTTGCTGGAAAAATGAAATTTTGGAACGCCTCTAGTAATCACTACAAAAACGCATGAATTATAGAAAATATAAAATTTTACTAATCTGGGTAAGAAATTACATGTTTATTTAGATAGCGATAATCTTATTTACGATCTGATAACAAAGACTGAATACATTAGTCGTCTTCGTTGTCTCATTATTTGTGGGTAGCACTGTATATTCTTTACCTGACTCATCAGTGGGGTCGTCTTCTTCTGAATCTTGTTCATCAACTTGGTTAAATATTTGGTTTGGTAAATTCTTAATAATACCGGGGTTTCATTGTTAGGAATATAAGTGACCAGCAGAGGTCAAATTTAAAGAATTTGAATTGCGTCGCTAAACCACCAATCACCGGTTCCAATGGAGCGACGGCTCAAATCTTGAAACACTTATTTAAATTATCAGCTGAAATAACGTTATTCCATGCAAATAATTTATTTAAAGAATTTGAACCAGGCCTAGATTTGGTCTCCAGGTTAATGCGATTAATTTGTTGAATATCTTATTATTCCAAAGAAAAATTTACATTAAGCCATTTGCGGTAATTCTAAATTCAATTTTATTATTTTCTTTTAACGATTGAAATTGCCGCTTTAAATTTGATTTCAAGTTCGACCCGAAAATCCAAAAGTTGACAAGTTTTTTTCTCAGAAAGTGCCTTGGTATTTATCAAATGATACTGTTTTTAGCATTTATATAAATACAATAAAGACGCCTTACTATTTAAGTTTGGATTATTGTCTGTATCAAAGTTGTTTAATAGCTTTGTGGAGATTTAAATATTAAAAAGTCGTCTTCATTGTGCAATGGAAACTCTTAGCAATGTTTCATAAAAATAAAGAAAGAACTGACACAATAATCACACTACTGACTTATGAGCACCTAGATTGTATAATTAAAAAAATCTGTTAAAAACTTTAAAGTAAAAAAAAGATGAAACTTGCCCCCTTCCTGAATAATGCTGTTTCTTCTGATCTGTATTGGGTTTATTGCTTCCTTGATCTCAGCCACGGACATTCGTCTACAATATATATATAAATATATACGTATATATATATGTATATATATAAAGTTGTAATCTCTGTCTGTTTCTTTGTTTGTCCGATCATAACACAGGAAACCCTGGACCGATTTGTCTCAAATTATGATTGGAGAATTCAGGATATCCACGGAAATGTTCTCGATTTTTATCCTGTTTTATATTATAGGTTGAGTGGGTCGACTATAAAGCGTAAAATTAACTATTTTATTCTAAGAATAAACAAGGGTATAGTTTTTTATTAAAAAAAAGTTTTTTCTCTAAGACTGTGATACATATTTTTTGTAAAATGTATATGAAGAAAATATATTCTGCAACCGTACTGCAACTGCATGTTAACCCACAAAGGATTAGACTTCAGAGACAATCATTAAGTAAATTATTTATTGATTATATTTGATTCAACCTTTAGTTAGCTTTAGTTAGTATTTCACTATTTATTTTTATTATTTCATTTAAATCTTATTTATTGTGGATAACCCTAATTATGTTAATAAATATAATTGTAACCCTTCGGTAAGTTGTTTGTTGACAAGTGACCAAATAGCCTAGAGCTAAGAGCATACTATATTTTCATTTAATCCTTCCTTTATAAACGTATATAATATGTAATACTAGATGAAGGGCCCGGCGTTGCCTGAGAATTCTTTTTTTTAATTTAAAAAAAAATTGGAAAAAAATATGAACATTTCTTTTTGTCTAAAACACTAACACCCCCGGCCATCCATGAGTGTCCACATAAAAATTCAGCCCAATCGGTCTAGCTGTTCGGCTGGCTATACGCAACATCTATATATAAATTTGGCTTGTCTGTCTGTTTGTTTGTTTGTCTGTCTGTTTGTTTGTATCCAATAAACGTCAAAACGGCTGAACCGATAGGGCCCACATTTTTTGTGGGACATCTAGGGACCCCAGGGAAGGTTTATGAATGATCAAAATTTCAAATATTTGTCTCCATCAAAATTCGATCTTCATTAAATTGTTGAAAATTTTGAAAATCCACGAAATTTTTTGTGAAAATCCGCGAATTATTTTTGTTTTGTTTAACGATGTACACAAAGAGAACATGTTCACAATTAATTTAGAAGATGGGCGCGAAGCGCCCTCTAAGGCTAGTATATATATAAACGATTATGAATGTTTTTTTTATTATAAAGATTAATATTTTATATTAGTACTTTAAGGGTTTTAGACTTTTAGTGCAGTTTTAAGTTGTCTTTCGGTTAGGGGGGCAGCGTATTCTTTACATGGTAGGTTTTTAATATTAACGGAAAATTCCGATAACAAAAAGCTAAAACAATCAATTTGTGATCGGTAACGATCATAAAATTAAATGAAAAATTAAAAAGAACGATCAAATTGAAATTAAAAATGACAACGACTTTTAATATTTTTCTGCAAATTAAACATGCATGCAAATTACCGAAATATTCGTTTTGTATGGCTTTTTAATTTTGTCTTCTGGTTTTTTTTCAGTAATTTAATTAATTTTAGGTCAGTTAATATCTGTAATAATAGTTAATGGACTACATCATAAACAATTTATAAAATTTAAATTGTTAACGCCGTCAATAAATTTGAGTTGAAGAAAGCTGAACTTTTATAAAGAAAGAATGGAAAACTATAATCAAAATGGAAAATTCAGTTCGTTGCTAATGAACGCATTTGAACGATTTTACCGGGAAACTAAATTTTCACTATTAAAGTCGACCCACTCAACTTAGAATCTCAAAACCAAGCAATGAACGTTACCGCGGGTCTCCCGAGTTTCTCATTCAAAGCATAAGTTATGATCGGACAGAAAAACAGATATTACAACTTTTTATATAGAAGATGAACGGTACAGGGTGTCCCACGAAACATGACAGTTGATGAATATAGTTTGGAATGTCTTTGTCCGTTCTCTGTATTATAGATATTAAACTGTTGGAAATTAATTTCGTTAAACAAATCTTTTACTCAAATCTATTTTACTTTGACACAAATTTTACTTAATATGACTGCCTTGTACTTTTTTTAACATTCTCATTGAAAAAAAAAAACTTAATATATTATAGAAGAAGACCAACTGTCATGTTTCGTGGGACATATAAAATTGTACATTTTATTGTACATTGTATATAAAATTCAAACCTTCGCTGAAATTTGAGTTTCAGACTTTTGAGAACATTTTTTTTCTCATGCTGGGGAATATGTTTGATAAAGTCGTAGAGAAGATCATCTATCTGCTGATCTTCTTCCTCGTGATCAACCATTGCAGAGATATCTTCATTTTTACACAATTAAGGATTATTTTGTTTTCCTCAGTGGTCAACGGTTATTTTAATACGATGAAGACGATTTTTAAATCAAAAGTTTTCTTTATTTTATTGATATATACGACGACGACAATGACGACGAAGACGACGACGACGACTGTATTCCGTTAAATTTACGGTTTAAGTTTGATTATTTTTACCAAAAAAGGCGGAAAGAAAATTAATGAATCCACTAATATAGTTTTTATACAGTTTCTTCCATTAAAGAATCATGCGAGACCTTCGATTCTGTCAAATTCAAATCGAATACCATGAAAACCTTTATCTGGTGAAAAATGTGGAAGATATCGTCGTTTCATAAGATTGAAAAATCTTAAATTCTTGACATTATAATTGTTTCTAAATTAGGTAGAAACTTTTAGTGAAATCATTACGTTAAACCCAATATCAATTTCAATGTTCATTTATTAAACGAGTCTTCTATTCCATGCATGTTTTAAAAACAAAAAGAAAGAACATATTAGTAGAGCGGGTATGTAGTGACTGCCTTATTTGCTCTCTCCCCCC